GCTTCCGTGAAGAGACGCTTCCATTCTGAGACGCTTAGTAAAAAAAAAAAAAAAAATTAAAGTATAAATTGTCTTTACTACTTCAGAATAGTTCTTTAGATGTCTGAGGATCTTCTCTCAGACTCTGGTGTGCCATACCTCAAGATGAATTCACTGGTGGAAAATGTGCCAGTTTAACAGAGATCCTGCTATACTGTGTTTCACCTCCATACAAGTTTGGGAAGAAAGTGACTTCCAGTCAACTTATAGATGAAATCATATATTTCTTTGGTGAGCAGTTCTTCTCTTACACTGGTCACTTTGTTTTTTTTTTTTTTTACACTGGTCACTTTGTAAGATTAAGTTATATAAATTCAGAAGTAACTTACCAAATGACATTACACTGACCAACTTTCTAGAATTAAAACTAGCAATCAGAAGAGAGAAATGGAAGAAAAAAATAGTAAGAAAAGAAGAACTAGGACAAAAGTAAATTCCAATATGTTCTTACAGATAGTTTAAGTGGAAGTAATATGCTAATTATTTGTTATTTTTAAAAAATATTATTCTTACTCTCATTTATCTCTTAAGCAAAATATTTGACTAGTAACAGCTAGTGTTAGAAAATGAGTTTGTTTTCCTGTAAAGTACCTAAGAAACATAGAGTACTAGAAATAATTATATATAAAAAAGGAATACTACAATGGAAACTATTTTCAATATAGTTGATAATAGAAACAAGCTAGAAAATTATTTGTTAAAACATGTAGACAAATGAAGGACAAAAACAAAATTTATGCTTATGAAATTTCAGGCCATCAGCTTTCAAGCTCCTGGATACTCATACAGAAGTTCTATCAAACTTAAAGAATTCCACATATGTACCAGCTATGAAATATGACATCAGAAACATAGTTATAATAAAATTCTTCAGCTTTCATTCTTTGTGATGTTCAGATATTTACAGAAGCCTTGTGTTTACATGTAAATTGTATGAATGAAATATAGTTTTAAATATTTCCTTTGGTTTAGAATACTGTAAAAATTATTTTGAAAAAGGAAAGCTTTCAGACATTTGAAACAGTCCATCAACAATAACTCAGATTCATCACACTGGATAAAATTCCTATCAAGTAAGAGTTTTGTTTTTGTTTTTTTTTGGGGGGGGTCCAGTCGTGGGGCCTGAACTCTGGGCCTGGGTGCTGTCCTTCAGCTCTTCAGCTCAAGGCTAGCGCTCTACCACTTGAGCCACAGCTCCACTTCCGGCTTTTTTTTTCTTTTTTGCTTAGGTGGTGCTGAGGAATCGAACCCAGGGCCTCAGGCATGCAAGGCAAGCGCTCTACCACTGAGCCAACTTCCCAGCCCCTCAAGTAAGAGTTTTACCAACTCAAGCCAAACTAAAATTACGTTCTTACATTGATATTGGGGAAATTCTCTGGTTTTATTTTATCATTTTTCTCTAAGCATGGATTGATATAACCATTTCTTCATAATAGTCTCCATTTGGAGAATATATTATCTACCTTCAACAGATTTAACTTTTAACAGAACTTTCTGTGTACTTCATTTTATCTGGTGACTCTATCTTAAAACATAAAATACTAAACCCGTTAGTAAGATAAATTGTTTCCTAAATATTTCTATCCATCTATAGATTGTACTGTTGTGATTCATGACTAATTGGATTTTTTAAAAAATTTCTTAAAGATTGAAAATTTTCCTGAAGATCAACCAATAACACGTGTGTGCATGCCCATACACACAGTGACAATTAATGATACAGATGTTCTTTTACCTAACTGATTTGTTCCTTATAAGGTCCTGCAGAAACAATATACTTACTTAGCCCCCAAATTAAGTTCATTATTACCCTTAAGTTAAATGTTTTCATTTTCTTTCCTTGTGCTCACGTTTGACAATGCCCCATAAACTTGAAGACCTTGTATCGTCACTCTCCTGCCTTTTGCCTAATAAATCTCCCAGGGCTGGGAATTCTCTTTCCAGCATGGCTTGCCAATAAGTACACCCTGTTTATGACAGTTATCAATCTATAGAAAATTGTTATCATTTCTTTTCTTTTCTTCTTTCTGTCTTTTTTGGCCAGTTCTGGGACTTGAACTCTGGACCTGGCTCTGTCTCTGAGCTTCTTTGTCTCTACCACTTGAGCCATAGAGCTGTTTCTGACTTTTTCTGAATTGTTTATTGGAGATAAGCGTCTCACAGACTTTTCCTGCTGGGCTATCTTCGAATCATGATCCTCAGATCTCAGCCTCCAGAGTAACTAGGATTACAGGTCTGAGCCACCAGCATCCAGCTCATTTCTTGATTAGATTACTGCTGTGGTTTTAGGTTTATCATTGTAACCAGAATAAGTTCTAAATTCCAAATCCAATAATGCAGCTACTCTACATCACTCAGTATGACTCATTACTTTGTATGGAAAGACCAAACTCCTTAACATGAGCTACAAGGCTGTGTATATACTAATCTTTACTACGTGGTCAGGTTGAGTGAATACCATTCCTTCATCACATTCCATAACACTAAGTTTTTTCAACTTTTCCCTGAACCATACCTTTTCTCAGCTGGGTTTCTCATTATAAAACATGTGTCTTTGCTGGGTGCTAGTGGCTCACACGTGTAACCTTAGCTTTTGAAGCCAGATCCAGCAAAAAAAAGTCTATGAGACTCTTATCTCCAATAAACCACTCAGAAAAAGTCAGAAATGATGCTGTGGCTCAAGTGGTAGAGCACTAGCCTTGAGCCAAAGAAGATTTCACTTCTTGTAAGAACACATCCCTTATCTCCTGTATGTCAAGTAAGTAACTCATATATCTCTATATTCCTCCCAATCATATGGTATATTTTCTACCATAGTTGTCTCCTACTCCTTCCTCCCCCCTTCCTCCTCCTCCTCCTCCTTCTCTTTTTCCTCCTCTTCCTTTTTCTGTTTGTGTTTGTTGGTCCTGGGGCTCGAAATTAGGTCCTGGGTACTGTCCCTAAACTTTATGCCCAAGGCTAGTACTCTACTACTTGAAGCACAGCTCCACTTCCAGTTTTTGAGGGGTTTGTTTTATTTTGTTAGTGCTTAATTGGAGTGGAATCTCATGGACTTTCCTGCCTGGCTGGCTTTGACCCACAGTCCTTAGATGTCAGTCTCTTGAGTAGCTAGGATTACAGACCTGAGACACTGCATCCTGTGTCTATTCTTCCTTTAATCATACACTATACTATATATAATCTCTGCAAAGGTAAGGATAATCTATACCTTGTTTGACATATAGTTCACACAGTGTCAACTATATACAATGAACACATGTTTTATTTTTCCCAAAATTTTCTCTGATTAATATTCCTACAACTGACTAAACTGTTAGACTAGAGTGGAAAAGTGAATTATTTTTTTAATTATTTCTAATTTAAAAATTAAGCAGGGTGCTTATGGTTCCCATCTATAATCCTAGTTACCCAGGAGGGTAAAATCTGAGGATCAGGGTTCTAAGCCAGCCCATTCAGGATTCTTACCTTTAATAAACCACCAAAAATCCAAAAGTGGAGCTGTAGTTCAGGTGGTAGTGTGCTAGCCTTAAGACAAAAAATCTCAGGGACAACACTCAGGGAACCTGAGTTCAAGCCTCACAACTGACACACAAAAGAAGAAAAAAAATAAAAAGAGGTTTCTGTGGAAAAAAATAATTTAAAAAACAGAAAGATAAGCAATGTTATTTGTTGCTGAGGGATGAGCTATAGCAGAGAGAAGAGAAATAAGATGATAAAAGTGCAAATATGGTCAGTACTGGAATCAGCACTAAGTGTCAATCAAACTTATTTGGGAAACTTATAGTCTTTTAAAGTTCAACATATGAAGACCTAGATGTTTGCCTCACAGCAAAATCCAATTCAAAAGCATAATTATCAACAGCTCTCAAAAAAACAAAAAATAAATAAAATACCTAACTGTGATATTTCATAATGTTTGAATTTTACAATGTGATGAGTATACATTTTTCAGAAGGTAAGATAATTTTTGACAAAAGATAAGGCAGAATATATTATTTTAGTAGACTTATATACTGTTATGGATTCAACTATTGAATAAAAATGGGAAGGTTGTACCTTTTAATCCAATTAAATAAGCTATAGTCTTGCTTTCATTATATATAAAAGTCACTTTGGGGATTTACGGATGGACTTTTCTATGGTCCATGATATGCTAGCTCAATAACAAACAAGCAAACAAATCTCTAAATGCAGAGAGAGCTTATAAGCATCAAAAATTAGTCGGGCATGACAGTGTATGACTGTAATCCTACCTACTCAGGAGGCAGAGTTAGAAGAATTGTGATGAAAAGCCAGCTTAGGCAAAATGTGAGAGCCTATTTTTTTTTAATATACTAAAAAAGCAAAAAAAATGCTCGTGTCAGGCTCTGAGTTCAGTTCCTAGTATCACCACAAGAAAAACAATTCCTCTACCCTCCCTACCAATAGCTTCAAATTTAACCAATATAAGAGCTAGCCCTTCAGGTCAATCAGTTGCCATAAATTTCACAGAAAAGAGTTCAGTTCAGCAGACATATCCATAACCTTTAAAATGTAAGAAATATCTTAATGACCAGGGCCAGAAACTATTTAAATATATGATGACACAGCTATCGTATTGTCAGACAGACATTAGTAGTTTTTGTTACAGAACTTTACAAATCAGACTATTAAATTTTAGACATACTATATGTTTAGGGTATGTTAAATTACATTTCCAGTAGTAGTTGTTTTTGTAGTGTATATGCTTTTTCTGTTCTTTGTATGCATCTGTGTTATTTTTAATGTTTTATATCTAGAAAAGAAGTAAGTCAATAACAAGAGATATTCTACTCAAAATATGTAGGCTGTGTCTTCACAGAATACTAAAATATGCACAAGTATTTAATATTCTCCTTGTCCCTGTGTTCATCCTTAGTCTACTTCATTAAGAACACAGGTTCCTTTGGCTTTCTAAAGTCATCTGCTGATTATCTGCTGTCATGATCAACCAGAGCTGCCAGGATCAGTTCATCTTATTGGGTTTTTCAGATAGACCCAGGCTGGAACAGATCCTCTTCATATTTGTCCTCATCTTCTACCTAGTGACCTTAGTTGGCAACATCATCATTATTCTGGTCTCCCTCCTGGATCCTTGTCTCCGCACACCCATGTACTTCTTCCTCACTAATTTGTCCTTCCTTGATCTCTGCTTTACCACCAGTTCCATCCCACAGCTGCTTTTCAACTTAGGCAGTCAGAACAAAACCATCAGTTACATAGGCTGTGCGATCCAACTCTTCATGTTCCTGGGGCTGGGTGGCACAGAATGTGTTCTCTTGGCAGTCATGGCTTATGACCGTTTCACTGCGATCTGCAAGCCCCTTCACTATTCAGTCATTATGCACTCTCAGCTCTGCTGGAAATTGGTGTCTGTGGCTTGGGGGGTCGGACTTCTCAACTCCCTGGTTATGTCTCCTGTGACTATGAAGCTGCCGCGATGTGGGAGATGCCGGGTGAAGCATTTCCTGTGTGAGATGCCAGTTCTGATCAAAATTGCTTGTGTGGACACAGTCGCCGTGGAGAGCACTGTTTTCATCTTGTCAGTGATAATTGTGCTGGTGCCACTGTCTCTCATTCTCATCTCTTACAGCTACATTGCCCTAGCAGTATTGAGAATCAAGTCAGCCTCAGGAAGAAGGAAGGCTTTTAACACCTGTGGGTCCCACCTCACTGTAGTCTCCTTGTTTTATGGGAATATTATCTACATGTATATGCAACCAGGAAATACTTCTTCTCAGGACCAAGGGAAATTCCTTACCCTCTTCTACAACTTGGTGACCCCCATGTTAAACCCTGTCATCTACACACTGAGAAACAAGGATGTAAAGGGTGCATTGAAGAGGCTTATGTCTAAAAAATAAGGTCAAGTGACATTTCCTAAGGTTGATTCTTTCACTTCTTCAATAACAGGAAATAATTCTTAAAGTGGTGATTTAACATTTATTTAACTATATCTACCATCAGGAATGGGTCTTTGGACTATGTATTATAAAGTCTCAAATATGAATGCTGATAATTAGTTATATTATAGTTAAAATTTCATTCATATGATTCTTGGGCCTTACATACTAAATCCATTCTTGTTCCTTTCCAGTTAACCATAACTAAAATCCAACAAAACCATGAACTAGTGTTTCAGTACTATGGGTAAACTAACAGGAATTAGGCCTTGCTGGTAGTTCATGCAGTTGTCATTTTTAATCATGAAATGTTCAAATGGAATGCAAAAACATTTTTGCTTTTGAAATCTATAAACTGATGTAAAAGATAAATTGTTTGTGGGCCTAGACATCATTTATAATATAATTTTTTAGTTGAACTCTGCTTCACTGATCTACTACATATAAATTATCTGAAGACATTTTTTTTCAAATTCAAAACCCAGAAGTTCTACGTTTTAGTAAGTTGGAAATATGTAGCTTACAAAGCTCCTCATGTAATTCTAATATGGACTTATATTTTTAAAAAAAAGAAAAAGATAAATGAATTATTTTAAAATTTTTCATTTGAGACTAGAAAACACCATAAAATGGACTATAAATTCTAGACAAGAATTTAACATGTGTGTCTAAATATTTTAGGATGAGAATAAATCCTCCCACTTTATAAATATCAGCTTTACTTAAAGGATTATTAAAAGTGATGATCAGGCCAGGCACTGGTAGCTCACACCTCTAATCCAAGCTACTCAGGACTCTGGAATCTGCAGATGGTAGTTCAAAGCCAACCCAGGAGCCGGGCGCTGGTGGCTCACGCCTGTAATCCTAGCTACTCAGGAGGCTGAGATCTGAGAATCGCGGTTCAAAGCCAGCCGGGGCAGGAGAGACCGTGAGACTCCTATCTCCAATTATCCACCAGAAAACCGGAAGTAGCACTGTAGCTCAAGTGGTAGAGCGCTCGCCTCGAGCTGAAGAGCTGAGGGACAGCGCCCAAGCCCAGAGTTCAAGCCCCACGACCGACAAAAAAAAAAAAAAAAAGCCAACCCAGGCAGGAAAAATCTGTGATATTCATCTCCAATTAGTCACCAAAAAACTGAAAGTGGAGTTGTGGTTCGAGTGATAGTATGCTAGCTTTGAGCACAAAAGTTCAAAGTTAGCACTCAGGCCCTGACTTCAAGCCCCAGAAATGTCACACACACACACCCCACCCACCCCCACACACATATACTTGCAGTGACAATCATAAAAGCAAATATAAAAGATGTATGTCTGTGAATAGTTCTTCTAAGACTAATGAATATGCTTACTTTTAAATTGATTTTATAATATAAGGAAAGTCTCTTTATGTGGCAGCACTAAGTACTTATTTATCAGATTTGCACATGAATATTGGTTCTGTAAAACAAGCAAAATTAATGAGCTAATTAGACAACTAACCCCAAAATACATAAACTGTAAGTTCTGATCTACAGTCTCCACTGGAACACAAATAGAAAGGGGTCAACAGCTGATTTGCTTACGTTGTCAGCTGACCAAATGCTTTTTACAGTCCCATTATGCTGAATTAAGCAAATTGTCCAAAAGAGAACCTTACTCTCTTAGTTTAGATTTCTCATTCCTTGAGAAAAGAATCCCATGTGTACCTACTAACTATAGAGGTACATTAATTTATTGTATGTAGAATATATAGCAACACATCATATGTTGACCAAGTAAGTAAAATTAAACAATTCAGAGAAGAGCTCTAGCTTTCAACAGTTGACAATTGTTTTTGCAGTCATGGGGCTTGAACTTGAGGCCTCAACTCTATCCCTGAGCTGTGGTGGAGTTTTTGTTTTGTGTTTTAGGTTGTGTGTGTGTGTGTGTGTGTGTGTGTGTGTGTTTTCCTTAAGGTTGGCTCTCTACCACTCTGAGCCACAGTTCCACTTCTGTGGGGTTTTTTGTTGTTTTTTGTTTTGTTGTTGTTGTTGTTTTGTTTTGTTTGGCAGTTGTGGGGCTTAAATTCAGGGGCTAGGCACTGTCCCTGAGCTCTTTTGCTCAGGGCTAGTGCTCTACCACTTTGAGCTACAAATCTATTTTCAGTTCTTGAGTAATTAGTTGGAAGTGAGAGTCTCACTGGGACTTTTCAACCAGGTGTTGGCTTTGTTGCTTAAAGCTAGCATTCTACCACTTGAGCCACAACTCCACTTCTGGCTTTTTGGGTGTTTAATTGAAGCTAAGAGACTTAAGGGCTTTTCTGCCTGGGCTTTGAACTACAATCCTCAGATCACAGCTGCTGAGTAGGTAGGATTGCAGGCAATAACTATTAGCTCTTAACACCCTTCTGTTTTAATTAAAGATAAAAGTCTCATGGACTTTCCTGGCTGGGCTGGCTTTAAACTACAATTTTCAGATCTCAGCCTTCTGAGTAGCTAGGATTATAGGTGTAGGCCACCGTTCCCAGCAACAACAGATAATTTAGGTGAAATAAATAGACTGAAAGTTTTATTTATGTAATACGTAAATGTAACTCTAGAAAGCACTTATCAATTACTTGGTTTTGAGAGATATACCAGAATGATATCATAAACAAGAATCAATCTCAAACTCTTTTTCACTAATTCATTGTGACATTTCTATTTATTTATGTATGTATTTGTCAGCTGTGGGTCTTGAACTCTGGACCTGAGTGCTGTCCCTGAGCTGCTTAGCTCAAGGCTAAGATTCTACTACTTGAGCTACATACTACTTCCAATTTTCTGGTGGTTAACTGGATATTCGAGTCTCCTGGGGACTTTCCTGCCCAGGCTGGCTTTGAACTGCAATCCTCAGATCTCAGCCTTCTCAGTGGCTAATATTACAGGCATAAGCCACTGGCACCCGGCTCATTTCTCTTTATTAATACTTCTTTTTTCCTTGAGGTGTCTTTTTAATGATACCTTGAGTTTACATGACTTACATTAATTATTGCTTAGTCACAAAAGTGACGACTTTACCAAGATAGAAAAAAGGTTGATGTCAGCTCTGCTTGGAAGAGGAGATGCTTATATATAATGTAGAAAAACACATTAACTGAACTATAAAGACTAAAAGGGAACTCACTAATAAGACCACTGAAAGCAAAAGGAGTATTACAGGGAAAAATTGAATTATAAAACTAAGGAAATCAAGACACCACCATAATTATGTCTTTCATCTAGGATAGTAGTGAGTCCCCAAAGAGATTTAAACAGGAAAGGAAATAGTTAGTTTTACATAGTAAAAAGATTCCTCAACCTAAAGGTCTACCAATGCATACTTGGATAAAGAAAATATACATGATATACAATGGAATAGTCTTTCACCATAAATAGGATGCAATCTTGTCATCTGGAACAACATGGATGGAATTGCAGAATAATTATGCTAAGAGGAATAAGCAAGGGTCAACAAGACAAACATTGCATGATCTCAGTTAAATGTGGAAGGTAAAAAATACTATTTTCATGGTAGTAGAAAATAAAGCAATGGTTACCAGAGACTAGGTAAAGGGAAAAGGAAATAAGGAAAAAATTAGTCAATGGCTGCAAAGTTAAAATTGGGAGGAATAAGTTTTTATGCTTGATTACACAGTAGGATGGCCATAGTTATTAAAATAGCTACAGGAATAAATTTCAAATGGTCTCACCATTTGAATGTTTGAGGTGAAGAATAAGTGAACTATCCTGTGTGATCATTGCATAATTTATATCTGCATAGAAGGACCACATTGTACCCCATATATCCATATGATTATTGTCAATTAAAAATAAAATTAGGGGTCTGGAAGGTGGCTCAGTGATAAAGTGCTTGTCTTTTAGGCATGAGGCCCTAGGTTCAATTCCTTAGCATCACATAAGCAGAAAAAGCTGGAAGTGGTGCTGTGGCTCTAGTGGTAGAGCGTTAGCCTTGAGCTGAAGAGCTGAGAGACAGCACCCAGACCCAGAGTTCAGGCCCCATGACCGACAAAATAATTAGAACAAACATTACTAACATTAGCTTTTATGGTTTTACCTCCTAAGTCAATATATACTTGTGCAGGATTCTAAAATTTTGGATATAGTGGCAAAATAAACATTAATTATGGTGAATTAAGAGAAAACAATTCAAAAGTACTTTATTTTATTCTCTCTATATACTGATATTTAAGTGTACTTCCTCTAAAACTGCACAGTAACTTTAGAGGTAAAATAATGAACACAGGGCCTTTCCCATGCTAAGCATATACTCTGTCAATTAGCTATGCCTTCAACCCCCTATTTATAGTTTTCTGAGATAAAGGCTAGAAACACTGAATAGTAATTGAATCAATAGTACCATTAAAAAACTTAATTTTAGTGGTATATAATTGCATAAAGATAAACCACTATAGGAACTAAAGCAGACATTCATGCCTAATAATAGCTGTCTGTCTTTAAGTAAAAGAAATGATATTTCTAAAAGTAAAGATAAAGAATTTAAAGATTGGCCTAAAAATGAAATCAACACTAATAGGTGTATGAAGTAGAGACAATAGGCTCAAGCCACATCAATTGGACAGGAAAAGATCGATTATCTGTTGATACCACTCTCCAGAGCCTTCCTCTTGGGTTGCTCTCCAGAGGCAGTCAAACTCAGTATACCTCAACTGAGGCTAATGAGTTACTCGGCACAGGACACTCTTGGGGCTACTAAAAGTAAACACTTCTTCCAACACCTCAGTCCCTAAAGCATGTTCCTTGATTTTTGTAGTTTATAAAAATACTCAACCAATACAGCAATAGCCCTTTCATTTATGGGAAGATTCCATGGAATTTAGATTCCAACTTTTTTTTAGTTACAGGCTCAGTTGTCTATCCTAATTTATACCCCTTTTTATCTACTGGAACACTATAAAAATGAGTGGGAAATCTTCCTGGAAAACTTTATGCTAATTAGTTCTAAAG